TTTTTAATTAATCTTGTTCTAGTCGTTCGGCAAAACATCCTTATATTAATCCTTCTTGCCAGGCATCACTTATTCTATGTTCCCGAGCTTAAGGCTACTTCAAAATTTTACGAATACCCTGGCCATAGCTTTACAGGGTAGTATGAAAGTCACAAGTTGTAGTGTTGATAAGCAAATAACTTTTTCGAAGCGGCGTAAGGTGGCCATTTTAGTAATTAAAGGCCGGGTTTCGTATTTTACCATGTGTTAGGTTAAGGGTTATGTTTTGAACTAATAAACTTTACTTTTAAAAAAACGAAACCATTATCCTTATAAAACATAAGGTCGGTGGACCCTTGACGGTATGACCTTTCAAGGATGTTTTATCTTTTTTTTAACACTGGTATGCTACTCTCAAAATTTAAAAGCACTTTAAACGATTCGATTTTAACTTCATCTCCTTGGAGGTTAAGGAATTATTGTTCTCCAGTCCCTTCTCCCGTAGGGTTGTCGTGAACTGCCCAAATGACTGAGTGGTTTCGCAGAGGCATATTAGGTCGGGATCGTTCACGTTTAAAATAGTATACACTAGTAAATAATACTATTCGTATACTGTAAGTTCCTAATGCTATTCTAGGATGCTAACGTTTAAAAGAAGTAAGCACTCTTTAGCGCACCACAACAAGCTATACAAGTATTCCGCTCGATGTAGCACAAAGTAAGTCAAACCGAGCCAATCTAATTAAAAATGTTATGATTTAGTTAATAAACATCTCACTTTGCTGGACTAAAGCAATTTTTAGCGTGATAAAAGGATTGAGTGCTATTTCAAAACCGAAATCAAGCTAATTCTAAAGCATCTAGAATCGATGCAAATAGTGTTATCTATAATACCCATGACAGCAACCTTCAGAGTTCCGAACGGTAAAAAACAAAGATATAGTCCAAGAAAACACCACAGGCTTTCAGACGCACCTATTCACTCCAGGTGCAGGCATTGCTACTACTTAGCCTTAAATTACGCAAAGTCGAAGGACCTACCTACACCTTTGCTTAAGAAAAAAACGGTTCAGTAGGCAATAATTCTAGTATATCAACATCGAGCTGATTATCGAGAGAATATTCGTAAGCTAACAGCTAAGCTGTAAACCATTTCTAGCCTAACACGGTTCGTCATAATTCTTAATGAACTCAAAAGGATGGGACCTTTTTTAAGGATCTCAAGTGACTTGTTAGTTTTCTCATTTTCAAGAGTAATCTATTGATCCAGGACTTTTGACTGTTAGACTAGACCATTCTCTCCTAGGACTTATCAAAGTGCACGGTAACTCTGATCACTTTCTCTTACAAGCACGATCACCATGTTCTTGTGGACTGTGTTCCGAACATTTAGTTGAAGAGATAGAATTATTAATTACGAGAGCCTACTGTATAATTTCAGCTCAAGTCAAGTCAAGAAGTTCGAAATAGTTATCCAGCATCCTTCAATATAGTGACTACATTTCACTTGCCGTGTACCCTTGGATGGCGTCCGACACGTACATCATCGGGTGAAGTTTTGAAGTCAAATCGCGGATCCTTTAGGTAGAGTGCAACGACGAATTTCACCTTAGGGCCGACCTTCTTCGGGTCGCTTAAAAGATAGTAACCTATGCCGTTGTTGTGTTGAATCGTTACTTTACTAAGAGAGTGTACAACACTTAGATGCTTAAAAACACCGTATTAAGAGAGCAAGTTAATTAACTTGCTCTTTGTTGGGCACTTTCTCTCGTGCGCTTTACCGGTGCACGAGCTTGTGACGCAACTGATACTTGACTGTGATCCCAGCTGGTAAGACCATGCTTTATATAGTTGTTAACCGGGGCGCCTGCGTAGGTTGGGCTCGCAATGGGAGTATTAGGAACGTGTTCTGTCACGGACCTTGGACCGTTAGTCATATCTTGAGACTTTCGTCATGTATAGTACATTCTTTGTAAGTTAAGCTTTATATCTCATTCTAAGCTAATACACCGAAGCTCTGTTTTAAACAAGCCTTGGTAAGCAATATTTATAACCTTATCTTGGCTCCCTGTGTTAGGGTTGAGGCTCCAAGGTGAAACAACTTGCTTCACAACTTTAACTAAGATAGAATACAATAAAATACAATACAATAGAAAGAGGTAGAAACTACTTATCATCTTTACAACTACGGGGTACAGGAAAGCGCCGAGGATAGCCAAGAGTTAGTTCTTCTACGCAGAGCCCAACCACCTAAGCTGAAGTATAACACTGGTCGTTCGACCTACCTAACCTTAGATGATGACCAAGTATGCTAGATCGCTGTGACCACATGGCAAAGAAGGATGTTCCCGCAAGACAAGCGTTGAGGATATTTAAAAAGATAAAACGCTGGCACATGCGCGAGCATCGAGAAAGGAAGTTTCCCATTCTCCTATACATGCTTTTTGGAGGGGTAAAATAATGTTCATACTCAAACTACTTAACCATTCCTTTCAATATGAGATAAAAATGCTAGATATTAATATATTATCTTTTTTATATAAATTTTGATAACAAAATTATATAACATATCTTAATTTAAGTTATAAATATTAATACGTACCTTGTTACCTCTCGCCCTCCCTTATTATACGTACACTAACTCTAGGGGCCTACTGAGCGGTGGGCGCTAACGAGCGCTGGCTAATAATTGGGACATTAGCTTTTTTTTGCGAGTTTTTGATTGGTGTACCGAGGCAATAAGCCGTTCATAAATTATATAGCAATGACGTAAGGCATCCTTTCAACTAATTCACGGCGCCTCTGTCATTGGGCGGAGCAAGCTTGTTTTAACTCATGTATAGCGAAGAGGCTACTATTGGCTTAGACAGCAAATGCATATTTATGATTGGCCGGCTTTACTAACGCAACTAGCGTGGTATCATGGTTCGCTTCTGGCGCAAAGTAAACGATAAAAAAGTTCGATTCGCTATAAAATATTTACGTGCGACCGCCACGCGTGCTTATAAAAAGTTAATCTTAACAAAAGAAAAAAAATATAAATATCAAAATTAAGTTTAATAATAACAACATTATAAAATTGTAATATATATAAATATATTACATGGAAAAGTATGATTAAGGGAAAAGAAAAAATGTAATAATATTTATTAAAAAAATATGTATATAGTATAATTAATAGAAAGCTAGCTATCGAGCAAATTTTTATGTAAAAACATAAATTTACTTTAACTTTTTTTTTTTTAAGTTTCAATTCTGTTTTAATTTTAATTATAACTTTTTTTTTTAATTGCTTATTTTTATTAGTTATATTTTTTAATAGGCATTTGTAAGCCGTCACTCAAACAGATCACTTTGCTTATGAAGCCGAAAATATCTTTAGTCCTTCGGGGCTAGAGCCATTTAACTGTGAAGTCTATATTAATTCCAATCGAAATTAATGTTGAAATATTAATGGGGTTTTATCTAAAGTCTGTCCACAAGGCCCTTCTCAAGAGCAGTATTTACGAGGTTTTACCTTAAACTGAACCTATGCGATCCTTCTTTGAATTGCCAGGCTGTAAATAATAAACAAGCAAGGCAAAATACCCCGCGCACAACTATATGCAAAAAAAGGGCTAAAAGAGGAAAATCCTCTGCTTTATTAATCGTAAAATTATATATATATACTTAAACAAAATTAAATTAAACACACGGGATCAATTAAAATGTACCACTCAAGTTCGGTGTCAACTAAATTCTGTTGTAAGAAAAGCTCATAGAGTTGGCAGTTATTGTCTTTATTTATTTTAACTTTGTAGGGAATTTATTTTTTATTATTAAAATTTATATTGATTGCCTTGCAGGGTCAACTGGTGGCACGAAACTGTGTCCACAGCTTCTTAAATCTAATATCTACTAGACCTTTCCTTTTAAAAGAAATCCTGAGAAAATTATTTATTTATGTCTGCTGTATGGCATGTTCAATGGTGCTGCCTTTTTTTCTTTTTACTACAAATCTCTGTCATCCTTGCTTCAATCTACTACCTCAATAGAGTGGAATGCTCTGCGCGTCTTTTTGAGCTTGGAATCAATAACCACAATGATCAGTATAGCTTGTGCTCTTTCTTTTAAAGAATTAAGGTGTTTAAACATATCACAAGGATGAGTGTTCGAAAATGACATGCCTTCAATAGAGAAGATGAGAATAAGAAAGAAAATCAAAGTGAGTAAGAGACACAACTCTGCGTTTTTTGTCTTCTTGGTTATTTAACTGTTTATGTTACATTTTCTTTATATTTAAATATATGATTATCCACTTTTTATTTCATTTTTTATTTATTTTTTCTCCCAAAGTCGGAGTTAATAATTTAAGCATTAATATCTGTAGCCTTTATAATCTTTGTAAAAAATGCAGTTCAAAGTTTTTAACTATTATGATTAGTCCATTATAGCAATATTTTAGTAGACAAGGGAGAGGCGCGCTAATATAAATAGTACTAGCACTATACTACTATTTATGGAGATTGTACTTTAAAAACTTTAACTATAAGAATCTATGAGAGGTAGTTTTTGTCTCCACAGTGCAAATTCGGTATTAGCACCAAGTTTTTTTTTTTTTAATAGCCTGCGCTTAACTTACCGACCACCCGCCAAAGTCTTTAAAAAAAAGAGCTAATGACTACCTCTTCATTACGGGACAATAAAATGGTCACTCTTTCTTACCCTTTCATTCCGAAGGTCTTAATCATGCGGGAATTTATATATATTGAGGAACACTAAGCTTTATAAGACTCTTGGGAACAGAGGGTAATAAAAGTTGTATATACGTAAGTTAACGACCGAATATGTGAGTCGTTACCGTAGCTCAGTGGTTAGAGTACTTGTCGCTCAGTCTCAAGGCGGCTGGTTCGATTCCCGTCTGTTACAACTCGCATCTTTCTGGTCTGGTAGTTAAGTGTACAACTTCTCTGCAAACAAAAATTCTGATAGAGGGGCCAGGTAAAGAACGAATTTGTGAAAACACAATTTATTATGTTTGCTTAAGAAATGCAGGAAAGGACTAAGCTTAGCGCTAGCCATACATAAAAATTAGAAATCCTAAATGCTGTCGCTGCCCGGATAGTGAGGAATGAGTGGGATTACCGGCGTATTGGCTTGAGTGCTTGGTGAAGAGGAGGGCAGGCCCGTCGGGGTATTGTCGGGAGTAAACGTACTTTGATAAGTAGGACTCGGAGGCTTCAATGCAGTACAATTGTTTTTATTAAAACTGTTGTATTCTTTAATTTCCCTCTCAAAAGTGCATCGTTCACTTTTATAATTTAGATTTTCATAATGAAGACGAGAGCAACAATGAAAATTTTCATCAAGAGTAATAAATCTTATAGACGTTAGACGTTAGATTATAATTAGAGATAGGACAGAAAATAATAAAAAACAAAGATTTAGTTTAAAATTTAGTATTAGAAATATAAGATTCAAAGTAAAATTAAAAAGATAAATTATTTTAACACTTTCCTTTTGTGCAAATAAAACAGAAAACGTACAACTATACAAAGACTAGATTTGTAAAAATCTTATTAAAATATGGCTATATTACTAAAACCAGACTTAATCGTTTTTTTCATTGTATGGTCGACTATGAGAGTTGTAGAGTAAAAAAGGAGTAAAATTTTTGTTAAAAAACCGAAGTTATTACTAATTTTAAACAAATAACTCGTTCTAATAAGTTTAATTAAACTTACAAATATTTTAAATTTTGCAAGGAAGAGAACATTGCTTTTTGGAGGGCAGTAAGTTGGTTTTCATTTATATTTCTTTTTTTGTACAATGCAAGAGAAGTTAGCCTTAATATTAGAAAATAAATTTATAACGAGCTTTTACAAATATGTTAAAGCGCTTAGTTCGACAATGGAACGATCCTCTATTGATGATATGTTATTTTTGTCTAGATTCCTAAATTAAAAAGTGTAACAAGTTAAAGTGAATATCTATAAAGAATTCATAAAACAAAGCGAAAAGTAAGGTAATATTCTATCACACTTCTCTATTACTAAACTAGACTTTTCCTTGTTTTTAAATGGTTCGGTGGGGTTTTGGCAGTTGTAGACTTACAAGTGAGTATATTAGTTAGACAACTAAAGTTATACTATAAAATGCAATCTTATAAATATAAAGTAACCACTCATCCTAATAAGTTTAAATAAACTTACAAATATTTTAAACTGTGCAAGGACAAGAACACTGCTTTTCGGAGGGCAGTAAGTTGGTTTTCTTTTAAATCCCTATTTGTACAATGCAAGAGGAGTTAGCCTTAAAATTAGGAAATAAATTTATAACGAGCTTCTACAAATATGTTAAAGCGCATAGTTCGACAAAGGAACGTTCCTCTATTGATGATATGCTATTTCTCTCAAGATACCTAAATTGAAAAGTGAAGTAAGTTTTAGTGAAAAAAATCGATAAAGCATTTAAAAGGAAAAGGTAGAACGGAAGGTAATATACTATCACACTTCACTATTCCAAAACTAGACTTTTCCTTGTTTTTAAATAGATCTGTGCGGTTTAAACAATTGTAGACTTATAGATGAGTAAATAATTTGTTAGAATACTCAAGTAATTACTAACAAGGAAATCCATTAAACATAAAATGAACCCTTTTGATGTTTACTTACAAATCTTTTAATTTTTGCAAGGACGAGAACATTGCCTTTCGGAGGGCAGTAAGTTCGTTATCATTTAAATTTCTATTTGTAAAATGCAAGAGCAGTTAAACATAATATTAAAAAATAAATTTATAACGAGCTATTACAAATATGTTAAAGCGCTTAGTTCGACAAAGGAACGATCCTCTATTGATGATATGCTATTTCTCTGAAGATACCTAAATTAAAAATTGTAATAAGTTTAAGTGAATATCTATAAAGAATTTATAAGACAAAGGGAAACGGAAGGTAATATACTATCACACTTCACTATTCCAAAACTAGACTTTTCCTTATTTTTAAATAATTCGGTGCGGTTTTAAGAGTTGTAGACTTAAATGGGAGTAAAATTGTTATAATACTGAAGTTATTACTAAAAAAAAAATTCCTTTAAATATAAAATCAACCCTTCTAATGTTTACTTACAAATATTTTAAATTTTGCAAGGTCGAGAACATTGCTTTTTGGAGGGCAGTAAGTTGGTTTTCACTTAAATCTCTTTTTGTACAATGTCAGAGCAGTTAGCTTTTATATTAGAAAATAAATTTATAACGAGCTATTACAAATATGTTAAAGCGCTTAGTTCGACAAAGGAACGATCCTCTATTGACGATATGCTATTTCTCTCAAGACACCTAAATTAAAAAGAGTAATAAGTTTAAGTGAATAACGATAGAGCATTTATAAGGCAAAGGGAAACGGAAGGTAATATACTATTACACTTCACTATTACTAAACTAGACTTTTCCTTGTTTTTAAATGGTTCGGAGCGGTTATCGCAGTTGTAGACTTATAAGTGAGTAAATTTTTTAGAAAACTCAACTATTACTAAAAAATGAATTCCTATATCAACCCTTCTGATTTTACTTACAAATATTTTAAATTGTGCAAGGACGAGAACATTGCTTTTCGGAGGGCAGTAAGTTGGTTTTCACTTAAATCTCTTTTTGTACAATGCAAGAGCAGTTAGCTTTTATATTAGAAAATAAATTTATGACGAGCTATTACAAATATGTTAAAGCGCTTAGTTCGACAAAGGAACGATCCTCTATTGATGATACGCTATTTCTCTCAAGATACCTAAATTAAAAAGAGTAATAAGTTAAAAGTGAATATCTATAAAGGATTTATAGGCAAAGGGAAACGGAAGGTAACATACTATCACACATCACTATTACTAAACTAGACTTTTCCTTGTTTTTAAATGGTTCGGTGCGGTTATCGCAGTTGTAGACTTATAAGTGAGTCAATAATTTGTTAGAATACTCAAGTAATTACTAACAAGGAAATCCATTAAATATAAAATCAACCCTTCTGATGTTTACTTACAAATCTTTTAAATTTTGCAAGGTAGAGAACATTGCTTTTTGGAGGGCAGTAAGTTGGTTTTCACTTAAATCTCTTTTTGTACAATGTAAGAGCAATTAGCCTTAATATTAGAAAATAAATTTATAACGAGCTATTACAAATATGTTAAAGCGCTTAGTTCCACAAAGGAACGACCCTCTATTAATGATATGCTATTTCTCTCAAGATACCTAAAATAAAAAGTGTAATAAGTCTAAGTGAATATCGGTAAAGCATTCATAAAACAAAGCGGAAAGTAAGATAATATTCTATCACACTTCACTATTTCTAAACCAGACTTTTCCTTGTTTTCAAATGGTTCGTTGGGGTTTTGGCAGTTGTAGACTTATAAGTGAGTAAATTTGGTAGAAAACTCAATTATTACTAAAAAATGAATTCCTAAAAAAAAAAATATAAAATAAACCCTTCCGATGTTTACTTACAAATCTTTTAAATTTTGCAAGGTCGAGAACATTGCTTTTCGGAGGGCAGTAAGTTGGTTTCCATTTAAACGACTTTTTGAAGAACCCATATACTGTTAGCCTTAACAATATAAAATAAAATTATAACGAGCATCTACAAATATGTTAGAGCTCTTAGTTCGACAAAGGAACGATCTTCTATTGATGATATGCTATTTCTCTCAAGAGACCTAAATTAAAAAGTGTAATAAGTTTTAGTGAATATCGATAAAGCATATAAAAGGCAAAGGGAAAAGTAAAATATTCTATCACACTTTCCTATTAATAAACTAGACTTTTCCTTGTTTTTAAATGGTTCGGTGCGGATTTAGCAGTTGTAGACTTATAAGTGAGTAAATTTGTTAGAAAACTCAAGTTATTACTAAAAAATGAATTCCCATTAATTTAGAATAAACCACTCATTCTAATAAGTTTAATTAAACTTACAAATATTTTAAATTTTGCAAGGACGAAAACATTGCTTTTCGGAGGGCAAGAAGTTGGTTTTCTTTAAAATCCCTTTTTGTACAATGCAAAAGCAGTGAACCATAATATTAGAAAATAAATTTATAACGAGCTATTACAAATATGTTAAGGCGCTTAGTTCGACAAAGGAACGATCCTCTATTGATGATATGCTATTTCTTTCAAGATACCTAAATTAAAAAGGGTAATAAGTTTTAGTGAATATCGATAAAGCATATAAAAGGCAAAGCTAAAAGTAAAATATTCTATCACACTTTACTATAACTAAACTAGGCTTTTCCTTGTTTTTAAATGGTTCGGTGCGGTTATCGCAGTTGTAGACTTATAAGTGAGTAAATTTTTTAGAAAACTCAACTATTACTAAAAAATGAATCCCTATATATATAAAATCAACCCTTCTGATGTTTACTTACAAATCTTTTAAATTTTGCAAGGGCCAGAACATTGCTTTTCGGAGGGTAGTAAGTTGGTTTTCACTTAAATCTCTTTTTGTACAATGCAAGAGCAATTAGCCTTAATATTAGAAAATAAATTTATAACGAGCTATTACAAATATGTTAAGGCGCTTAGTTCGACAAAGGAACGATCCTCTATTGATGATATGCTATTTCTTTCAAGATACCTAAAATAAAAAGTGTAATAAGTCTAAGTGAATATCGGTAAAGCATTCATAAAACAAAGCGGAAAGTAAGATAATATTCTATCACACTTCTCTATTACTAAACTAGACTTTTCCTTGTTTTTAAATGGTTCGGTGCGGTTTAGGCAGTTGTAGACTTATAAGTGAGTATATTTGTTAGACGACTAAAGTTATTACTATAAAATGAATTCTTATAAATATAAAGTAAACCACTCATTCTAATTAGTTTAATTAAACTTACAAATATTTTAAACTGTGCAAGGACAAGAACACTGCTTTTCGGAGGGCGGTAAGTTGGTTTTCTTTTAAATCCCTATTTGTACAATGCAAGAAGAGTAAGCCTTAAAATTAGAAAATAAATTTATAACGAGCTTTTACAAATATGTTAAAGCGCTTAGTTCGACAAAGGAACGATCCTCTATTGACGATATGCTATTTCTTTCAAGATACCTAAATTAAAAAGGGTAATAAGTTTTAGTGAATATCGATAAAGCATATAAAAGGCAAAGCTAAAAGTAAAATATTCTATCACACTTTACTATAACTAAACTAGGCTTTTCCTTGTTTTTAAATGGTTCGGTGCGGTTTTGGCAGTAGTAAACTTATAAGTGAGTAAATTTGTTAAAAAACTCGTTATTACTATAAAATGAATTCTTATAAATATAAAATCAACCACCCGTTCTAATAAGTTTAATTAAACTTACAAATATTTTAAATTTTGCAAGGAAGAGAATATTGCTTTTCGGAGGGTAGTAAGTTGGTTTTCTTTTAAATCCCTTTTTGTAGAATGCAAGAGGAGTTGGCCTTAATATTAGAAAATAAATTTATAACGAGCTATTACAAATATGTTAAAGAGCTTAGTTCGAAAAAGGAATAATCTTCTATTGATGATATGCTATTTATCTCAAGATACCTAAAATAAAAAGTGTAATAAGTTTAAGTGAATATCGATAAAACAGTTATAAGGCAAAGCGAAAAGTAAAATATTCTATCACACTTTACTATTATTAAACTAGACTTTTCCTTGTTTTTAAATGGTTCGGTGTGGTTATCGCAGTTGTAGACTTATGAGTGAGTAAATTTTTTAGAAAACTCAACTATTACTAAAAAGTGAATTCCTATAAATATAATCAACCCTTCTGATGTTTACTTACAAATCTTTTAAATTTTGCAAGGACGAGAACATTGCTATTTGAAGGGCAGTAAGTTGGTTTCCATTTAAACGTCTTTTTGTAGAACCCATATACAGTAAGCCTTAAAATTAGAAAATAAATTTATAACGAGCTATTACAAATATGTTAAAGCGCTTAGTTCGACAAAGGAACGATCCTCTATTGATGATATGCTATTTTTCTCAAGATACCTAAATGAAAAAGTGTAATAAGTATAAGTGAATATCGATAAAGCATTTGTAAGGCAAAGGGAAACGGAAGGTAATATACTATCACACTTCATTATTACCAAACTAGACCTTTCCTAGTTTTTAAATGGTTCGGTGCGGTTTTAACATTTGTAGACTTATAAGTGAGTAAATTTACTGGAAAACTCGAGTTATTACTAACAATGAATTCCTTTAAATATAAAATCAACCCTTCTGATGTGTACTTACAAATATTTTAAATTTTTCAAGGACGATAACATAGCCTTTCGAAGGGCAGTAAGTTGGTTTCCATTTAAACGTCTTTTTGTAGAACCCATATACAGTAAGCCTTAAAATTAGAAAATAAATTTATAACGAGCTATTACAAATATGTTAAAGCGCTTAGTTCGACAAAGGAACGATCTTCTATCGATGATATGCTGTTTATTTCAAGATACCTAAAGTGAAAAGTGTAATAAGTTTAAGTGAATATCGATAAAACATTTATAAGGTAAAGGAAAACAGAAGGTAATATAACACTTCACTATAACTAATCTAGACTTTTCCTTGTTTTTAAAGGGTTCGGTGGGGTATTGGCAGTTGTAGACTTATAAGTGAGTAAAATTGTTAGAAAAACTCAAGTTATTACTTGAAAAATGAATTCCTTTAAATATAAAATAAACCCTTCTGATGTTTACTTACAAATATTTTAAATTTTGCATGGACGAGAATATTGCTTTACGGAGGGCAGTAAGTTGGTTTTCATTTATATTTCTTTTAATGTACAATGCAAAAGCAGGTAGCCTTAATATTAGAAAATAAATTTATAACGAGCTATTACAAATATGTTAAAGCGCTTAGTTCGACAAAGGAACGATCCTCTATTGAGGATAAGCTATTTCTCTCAAGATACCTAAATTGAAAAGTGAAACAAGTTTTTAGTGAATATCGATAGAGCATTTAAAAGGCAAATCGAAAAGTAAGGTAATATACTATCACATTTCACTATTACTAAACTAGACTTTTCCTTGTTTTTAAATGGTTCGGTGGGGTTTTGGCAGTTGTAGACTTATAAGTGAGTAAATTTGTTAGAAAACTCGAGTTATTACTAACAATGGATTCCTTTAAATATAAAATCATCCCTTCTGATGTTTACTTACAAATCTTTTAAATTTTGCAAGGACGAGAACATTGCTATTCGAAGGGCAGTAAGTTGGTTTCCATTTAAACGTCTTTTTGTAGAACCCATATACAGTAAGCCTTAAAATTAGAAAATAAATTTATAACGAGCTATTACAAATATGTTAAAGCGCTTAGTTCGACAAAGGAACGATCCTCTATTGATGATATGCCATTTCTCTCAAGAGACCTAAATTTAAAAGTGTAATAAGTTTAAGTGAATAACGATAAAACATTTATAAGGCAAAGGGAAAGGGAAGGTAATATACTATCACACTTCATTATTACTAAACTAGAATTTTCCTTGTTTTAAACGGTTCGGTGCGGTTATTGCAGTTTTAGACTTATAAGTGAATAAATTTGTTAGAAAACTCAATTATTACTAAAAAATGAGTTCCTATAAATATAATCATCCCTTCTGATGTTTACTTACAAATCTTTTAAATTTTGCAAGGACGAGAACATTGCTTTTCGGAGGGCAGTAAGTTTGTTTTCACTTAACTCTCTTTTTGATCAATGCAAGAGCAGTTAGCCTTAACATTAAAAAATAAATTTATAACGAGCTATTACAAATATGTTAAAGCGCTTAGTTCGACGAAGGAACGATCTTCTATTGATGATATGCTATTTCTCTCAAGATACCTAAAATTAAAAGTGTAATAAGTTAAAGTGAATACCTATAAAGCATTTAGAGAAAAAAGCTAAAAGTAAGGTAATATTCTTTCACACTTCACTATTACTAAACTAGACTTTTCTTGTTTTTAAATGTTTCGGTGCGGTTATTGCAGTTGTAGATTTATAAGTGAGTAAATTTGTTAGAAAACTCGAGTTATTACTAACAATGGATTCCTTTAAATATAAAATCATCCCTTCTGAAGTTTACTTACAAATATTTTAAATTTTGCATGGACGAGAATATTGCTTTACGGAGGGCAGTAAGTTGGTTTTCATTTATATTTCTTTTAATGTACAATGCAAAAGCAGGTAGCCTTAATATTAGAAAATAAATTTATAACGAGCTATTACAAATATGTTAAAGCGCTTAGTTCGACAAAGGAACGATCCTCTATTGAGGATAAGCTATTTCTCTCAAGATACCTAAATTGAAAAGTGAAACAAGTTTTTAGTGAATATCGATAGAGCATTTAAAAGGCAAATCGAAAAGTAAGGTAATATACTATCACATTTCACTATTACTAAACTAGACTTTTCCTTGTTTTTAAATGGTTCGGTGGGGTTTTGGCAGTTATAGACTTATAAGTGAGTAAATTTGTTAGAAAAATAGAGTTATTACTAACAATGGATTCCTTTAAATATAAAATCAACCCTTCTGATGTTTACTTACAAATCTTTTAAATTTTTCAAGGACGAGAACATTGCTATTCGAAGGGCAGTAAGTTGGTTTCCATTTAAACGTCTTTTTGTAGAACCCATATACAGTAAGCCTTAAAATTAGAAAATAAATTTATAACGAGCTATTACAAATAAGTTAAAGTGCTTAATTCGGCAAAGGAACGATCCGCTATTGAAGATATGCTATTTCTTTCAAGATACCTAAAATTAAAAGTGTAATAAGTTTAAGTGAATATCGATAAAAGATTTATAAGGCAAAGTGAAAAGTAAAATATTCTACTACACTTTACTATTACCAAACTAGACTTTTCCTTGTTTTTAAATGGTTCGGTGAAGTTTAAGTAGTTGTAGACTTATAAGTTAGTAAACTATTTGTTAGAAAACTCAATTATTACTAACAATGAATTCCTTTAATATAAAATCAACCCTTCTGAGGTTTACTTACAAATCTCTTAAATTTTTCAAGGACGAGAACATTGCTTTTCGGAGTGCAGTAAGTTGGTTTCCATTTAAACGTCTTTTTGTACATGCCATAAACAGTTAGCCTTAATATAAGAAAATAAATTTATAACGATCTATTACAAATTTGTTAAAGCGCTTAGTTCGACAAAGGAACGATCTTCTATTGATGATATGCTATTTCTTTCAAGATTCCTAAATTAAAAAGTGTAAAAAGTCTAAGTGAATATTAAAAAAGCGTTCATAAAACAAAGCGAAAAGTAAGGTAATATATACCATCAAACTTTACTATTACTAAACTAGAATTTTCCTTGTTTTTAAATAGTTCGGTGCGGTTATCGCAGTTGTAGACTTATAAGTGAGTAAATTTTTTAGAAAACTCAACTATTACTAAAAAATGAATTCCTATATATATAAAATCAACCCTTCCGATGTTTACTTACAAATCTTTTAAATTTTGCAAGGGCCAGAACATTGCTTTTCGGAGGGCAGTAAGTCGGTTTTCACTTAAATCTCTTTTTGTACAATGCCAGAGCAATTAGCCTTAATATTAGAAAATAAATTTATAACGAGCTATTACAAATATGTTAAAGCGCTTAGTTCCACAAAGGAACGATCCTCTATAGTTGATATGCTATTTCTCTCAAGATACCTAAAATAAAAAGTGTAATAAGTTTAAGTGAATATCGATAAAACAGTTATAAGGCAAAGCGAAAAGTAAAATATTCTATCACACTTTACTATTATTAAACTAGACTTTTCCTTGTTTTTAAATGGTTCGGTGCGGTTATCGCAGTTGTAGACTTATGAGTGAGTAAATTTGTTAGAAAACTTAAGTTATTACTAAAAAGTGAATTCCTATAAATATAATCAACCTTTCTGATGTATACTTACAAATCTCTTAAATTTTTCAAGGACGAGAACATTGCTTTTCGGTGGGCAGTAAGTTGGTTTCCATTTAAACGTCTTTTTGTACAACGCATAAAAGTTAGACTTAATACTAGACAATAATTTATAACGAGCTATTACAAATAAGTTAAAGCACTTAATTCGGCAAAGGAACGATCCTCTATTGATGATATGCTATTTCTTTCAAGATACCTAAAATTAAAAGTGTAATAAGTTAAAGTGAATACCTATAAAGCATTTAGAGAAAAAAGCTAAAAGTAAGGTAATATTCTTTCACACTTCACTATTACCAAACTAGACTTTTCCTTGTTTTTAAATGGTTCGGTGTGGTTATCGCAGTTGTAGACTTATAAGTGAGTAAATTTTTTAGAAAACTCAACTATTACTAAAAAATGAATCCCCATATATATAAAATCAACCCTTCTGATGTTTACTTACAAATCTTTTAAACTTTCCAAGGACGAGAACATTGTTTTTCGGAGAACAGTAAGTTTGTTTTCACTTGAATCTCTTTTTGTACAATGAAAGAGCAGTTAGCTTTAAAATTAGAATATAAATTTATAACGAGCATCTACAAATATGTTAAAGCGCTTAATTCGACAAAGGAACGATCTTCTATTGATGATATGATATTTCTGTAAAGATACCTAAATAAATAAATGTAATAAGTTAAAGTGAATATCTATAAAGCATTCATAAGGCAAAGCGAAAAGTTAGGTAATATTCTTTCACACTTCACTATTACTAAACTAGACTTTTCCTTGTTTTTAAATGGTTCGGTGCGGTTATCGGGGTTGTAGACTTATAAGTGAGTAAATTTCTTAGAAAAACTCAAGGTATTACTAAAAAAAAAATTCCTTTAAATATAAAATCATCCCTTCTGGGGTTTACTTACAAATATTTTAAATTTTGCAAGGATGAGAACATTGTTTTTCGGAGTGCAGTAAGTTGATTTTCACTTAAATCTCTTTTTGTACAATGCAAGAGCAGTTAGCCTTAATATTAGAAAATAAATTTATAACGAGCTATTACAAATATGTTAATGAGCTTAGTTCGACAAAGGAACGATCTTCTATTGATGATATGCTATTTCCGTCAAGAGGCCTAAATTAAAAAGTGTAATAAGTTTAAGTGAATATCGATAAAAGATTTATAAGGCAAAGGGAAACGGGAGGTAATATACTATCACACTTCACTATTACTAAACTAGACTTTTCCTTGTTTTTAAATGGTTCGGTGAAGTTTAAGTAGTTGCAGACTTATAAGTTAGTAAACTATTTGTTAGAAAACTCAAACTCAATTATTACTAACAATGAATTCCTTTAATATAAAATCAACCCTTCTGAAGTTTACTTACAAATCTCTTAAATTTTTCAAGGACGAGAACATTGCTTTTCGGAGTGCAGTAAGTTGGTTTCCATTTAAACGTCTTTTTGTACATGCCATAAACAGTTAGCCTTAATATAAGAAAATAAATTTATAACGATCTATTACAAATTTGTTAAAGCGCTTAGTTCGACAAAGGAACGATCTTCTATTGATGATATGCTATTTTTTTCAAGATTCCTAAATTAAAAAGTGTGAAAAGTCTAAGTGAATATTAAAAAAGCGTTCATAAAACAAAGCGAAAAGTAAGGTAATATATACCATCAAACTTTACTATTACTAAACTAGTCTTTTTCCTGTTTTTATATGGTTGAGTTCCGTTTTGACGGAAAAGGATGAAAATAATTAGTAGTTTTCTTTAATTTTTCTTAATAAAATATATTTACGAATTCGATAAGGTTAATATCAGTATAACTTTATCTAAGCGCATATATTCACAAACTCGCCTTAATGCTAAGATCTCTTCGTTGGATAACGGAAGAAAAGACCAAATATTTAAATTAACTATCTCAGATTTCTAATTTTTTTGAAAGTACAGCTTAAAATCAATACTACCAATATTAAGAGCGTTACGGTAGGCTCTAGAAAGTTAGAGTATGATTTATTTTATATAATTACTTACAAGTATGTAACATTAGTGGGAAAATTTTTGCTCGGCAAAGTTGTTAAATTGCAGAGGGAAAGGTCCCTTTTCAATTTCCATGATAGTTAGAAATTATAATAAAATTTGTAAAAGTGAGTTTTGGTAAGGATAGAATTGAATTTTTTAGTTAGGAAGAGTGTTAAAACTAAGAGTTTTACGTGGGCTTCCTTGAAAAAAACAATGGCAAAATAAAAAATAGGAAAAGAAAATTATTATAAGCACTAGTGAGGCTTAAGCAATTATCAGGAAAGAAAAACAATTGTGTTCGGTTAAAGTAATTTGAGGGTATGCACGGAATTGCAAAGTAGATAAAGTGTACTTACAAAGTGTCGCCGTTTATAAGGAGAAATTGTTGACAGGGTGAAGGGATAACCTTTGGGAGCCAAAGTGCTAAGAATGGTAGAATCGTGGAAGATAACATGATGGGAAAAAATAGGGGGATAAGGTAATAAAATTCTAGACGAGCAAAAAAAAGTACTTTACGCCTGCTTTTATAGTATTTTTAAGATTATTTATGTTAGGGTTAGGGTTAGGGTTAGATGTAATGATAATCTTTGCAAACAAAAATTATCATAAACTTCTTGAAGATACTCAAACTATTTCTTTTATCAATAAACTTTCATATGCGGTATAGAATAGTTTTATTAATAAAAGTTTTTCGCTAAAATCTCCAGAGGTATCCTTGAATCAAGCTTGACTGATTGTTCAAAAAAGTATCTTGAATCAGGATCCTTTCTGCTGCCTGGGCTTCTTCAGTGGAATTTGAGGGCACGTGGTAAGCGAAAAAGCGAAAAGTACTAGAAGAGGTCTTTTCAGTCTCTTATATACCTTTTGAGGTTTATACTCGGAAAGTGGTTTCCAGAATAATTAGAAATGTTCGGGAACATTTCATGTAAAAAAGCATATGACTTTAATATTAGGTTTAGGAACATTATAAAAAAGAAACAGTGCTAGCTAGCTATCCTCCTTTTCTAATTTATAATGCTCCACTTTCCGAGTTTACGAAACGATTCGAACCCAATAATTCATTGATATTCCGAGGTCTGGAATATCCAATCGTTATAGGGTAATTATTTGCCATAGCTAATATGACATTCGTGGCAAGGGCATTTCTAATCCAACTCCGCCTCCGTCCGTTCGGGTCATATCGGATATGAAAAAAGAAACGTTTCGTAAAGGTATGGTTGTTATTGTTGTTCTCCTTTTTAGATAACATTGAGAAAGCGTATCTAAATATTACATATAATCTTTTTTTATAATGTCCCCTCTCCATTAACCTTGCAAAAAGTTTGTTACAACATGATACAAAACCCTCGCGAAAAGAATTTTGTCGGTAATATTTAGAAACTAAGCTTCTCACCATACCTTTTACAACTCCTGGCGGATGTGCCGAATGAGGGGTAGGATATAGAAATAAATTTGTATCCTTTTCCGCCGATGTTGTCCATACCATCTTACCATCTGAATGAATACAGATGTCCAGGAATTGTAATTTACCATCCTTCATTGATTCTTTAGTCCATTTCAGACCAGGAATACTGTTAAGGACAGCATCTTTTTCTCTAAGAATCTACTATTGTCATTCAAAATCACCAATGTATCATTCAAATATCTTTTATATAGGATGAGATTTGATTTTAAAAGAGGGTATAGTTTGATAGCTTCATAGTAAGCAACATAAAGTGTTGCTATACTGGGGGCTGCTGTATTCCCCATAGGAATTCGGTTCGTTTGAAAGTAGAGCTTATCATAGAATTCAAAATAACTTGTATTTAGAATTAAATGAAGAGCCTCTACAAGCAAACCACCATGAATTGGTCCATAATGCTCTAGAATATATTTTTTAATAACCCTAAATGCTTCATAATAGGAATGGAAGTATATAAGGCTGAAATATCTAAAGACATTATTTCATGGTGAGATGACAAAATGGTACCCTGAATAGCAGTCAGGATATCATCAGAATTCCTGATATAAGAAGGGACGGTCTCTACTATAGGTAGTAGATAGTGGTGTAACCATTTCGACAGACCAGTAATAGGTGTATTCACACATGCTACTAATGGACGAATGTCTGGTGCAGTTCTAGGAAAGTCGTTTTTGTGCACTTTGGCTAACCCGTAAAAATAACAGAGTTTAATCTTATACAGATCATGCAAGATGATTCTGGTCATTTTCATAAACTCATTATTTTTACCCATCTTTCTTCTTACTTGCTGATAAAAACCAAGGATCTTATCGCGACACATTG